AAGAAATATATTATCAATTGGAAAAATTACCAAAGACTTGAATAATGTTGTTATTTTATTCTTGTCTTTTATGTTTTTCATGACCTTAAAAACAAGAAAGTGATTAGCTTGCGTAAACTTTTAGATAGAGTCTACCAATGTTCTTTTAAGAACTTTTTAGCATGTTCAACATGAAATAATAAATCTGCAAAACTTTAGCATATGTGTTGTGGTCATGTTTCTATTCCATGTTTGAAGCATGTTGATGGCTTAGATTTTTAATTAACATCTAATTTTATTTGTGATATTTGTCATGAGTTCAAGAAAACTCATTTATGTTTCCTTCTAAGTAGTAATGAAAGCTCTTATTGTTTTGCTTTGATGTATTGTGATATATAAGGTTATTATGCCAAACATTTTTATGAGTGAAGAATATTATTTATTGACTATAATTAATGATTTATCTAGATGTATTTGGGTATATTATATGAAGAACAAATCTAAAACTTTTACCCACTTTACTTTGTTTTGTAATATGGTTAAAAATTAATTTTTTATGTTGTTTTTTTAAAAAATACAGTGATAATAAAAGTGAATTTAATTAAATAAAATGAGGTAATGATGCACAAACACCAGTATATTCTTGAAATTGCTCATCCTCCACTCATGTTTTGGAGAGAATGTGTTGTCACTGTTGTTCACCTAATCAACCTTGCCCTGACTTCTCTCTTATATGGTAAGACATCTTAGGAGATATTTAAGACACTTAAGCATGGAAATTTTCATGTTTTTTATTCTTTATACTATATTTATAATCATTATAAATCTTATGATAAGTTTACTTCTCACACATCAGTATGTGTATTCCTTGGCTATTCTATTAGACAACAATGATATAAGATTTATGATTTAGAAAATAAAACACTCTTTATTTCCATGATGTGTTATTTCATAAATAGGTATTTCCTTACAAAAACATAAAAACTCCCACCAAAACCCAAGTTGTCTTGCCTTTTTCATTATATGATTTTCATATTGAACCTATTGACTTTGTAAATAATTCACAACCTAAAAACAACCTTCATTTGGTAAAAAGGAATAGTATTCAACATAACCTTGTACCTTCATTTGAACCAATGATGAGACCATATCATACATGCCAAATCTCTACAAAACTTCTAGGTTTTGCTTATGATATTCTAACTTTTCTAAATCCGAATACCAAACCACCTTTAACTATAAATTTAGGAATCTTATATCCTCTTTTGAATGTTGTTTCTTATGATAATTTCTCATCCTCACACAAAGCTTATACAACAACCATCTCTTTTATAGATGAGCCTACCTCTTTCTTACATGTAATTAAAGATGCTTCGTGGAAAGAAGCTATGCAAAAAGAAATCGAAGCATTAAAAAGCTACCATACTTGGACTTTTGAACATTTACCTCCAAATAAACAAGCAATCAATTGAAAGTAGGTATACAAAATTCAATATAAAGCATATGGTATTATAAAACGATTCAAAGCTCAGTCAGTAACTAAGGGATTCACTCAAGTTGAAGAAGTACATTACACAAGCAATTTTGCTCTCATTACCAAACTCACCATAGTTCGTTGCTTGCTTATTGTAGCTGTTATTTAGAGATGAGATTTGCATCAATTAGACATGCAAAATTCCTTTCTAAATGGTAATCTACATGAAGAAATTTATATGAAAGTACCTCAAGGCTTCCATCATCCAAGTGTTACCCAAGTTTGTAGGCTTCACAAGTCTTTATATGGACTCAAGAAAGTATCAATAATGATTTGAGAAATTCATAATTTTAGACATTTTTATTGGTTTCCAACAATCTAATGTTGACAACTCTCTCTTTATTTGTATTTATACGAATAGTTCTACTGTTTTACTCATCTATGTTGATGATGTTATCATTTTAGGAAACAATGCTCCTTATATTAATGAACTTAAACATTATCTTCATAAGTAATTCCACATCAAATACTCGTGGACCCTCGAAGTACTTTCTCAGTCTTGAAGTAACTTACTTATCAAAAGATATTGTCATTAGCCAATGCAAATATGCCTTAGATATCTTTTAAGAAACAAGAATGATAGCAACCAAGCCTGCTTCTTTTCCTATGGAACAAAAGTATCATTTATAGCAGATTCTGCCTCTCTTGTAGTTGACCTTATTATATATGTAATCTTGTAAGACATTTATTTTACATGACCATCATTAGGCTAGATTTATGTTACTAAATGTAATTTCTTAGTCAATTTCTTTAGAATCCTTGTAAACTTCATCTTAATACATCCATACAATTCTAAGATATCTAAAGGCAGCTCTAAGAAAATGCATTTATCTTCCTCACTTAAGTCCTTTTTAGTTAGAATTATATTATAACTACACAAGTTGGCCAACTACTCAGTGATCTACAACTAGATTCTTTATCTTGCCTGGAAATTCTCATATTTCATGGAAATCTAAGAAATAACTAATTGTATCTTGATCTCCTACTAAAGTCAAATATCGAGCAATGACTTCATCTACAAGTATGACTGTTTGACTTTGTTATTTGCTATATAACCTTGAAATTTCCTTGCTTTCAGCTCTTCTCTGTTGTGATAATAAAATATTTTTTTCATATTGTTTCAAACCCAATTATTCATGAATGAACAAACACATTGAAGTTAATTATCATTTCATCCACGATCACATTCAAGCAAAACACTTGGAGATAACTCATATTTTCTTATTACTTGTCATGACTTGATTTCTAGATCCATGATTAACATATAGGCAATGTCCCTCTCCAAAGTTCTATATCTATATGAGCACAAACTCACATATGAACTTATTCTTTAAATAACTCAATCAAAGTTGAATGCAATAGTAATAACGAAACTAACTTCATAATATAATTTGATTATTTTAATATAAAAGTTAATATAAATTTATAGTTGTGAAGCACTAACTAGATATATATAAAAAGTATTAATTACAACCAAAAGAGCAGGCTCTGAAGGTCCAACAAAAATAATCTGCTAACAAGCTATAAGCCTAAAAAAGATAAATAACAAGAGGATGAGTTTAATAACTCAGTGAATAGATAATGTTTAATATATACATGAGGTAATACAATAATGAGAAATATATATACAAATATAGTTTTAGGTTCTTATAGGAAAGTTTTTCAAATAGGTTATAACAAGAGTATCATAAGATAAAACTCGTCAAAAAATCAAAATGCAATGAGTATAAGGCTCTGTATTATGAGATAATCAATCCACATAGATTGACGACTCCCCTAACTAACTAGGGTTTTAGATACGATATGTACAAAGATTAATACTACCCTATTAGCATGGGTATTCTGATTGGCATACCATATATTTATATTATAATCAAACAGACAGATTTATATCTCAACTCAACTCATGACATCAATCAAATGAGGAGCTATCAATTCAGAAGTCAATTCAAAAGTATATAATGACTTATATTAAAAATTCAGATTCAACAATTGATAATCTTTTATTGTAACAAATGATAATAATCAACATATATATTATCAAGAAGCATCATCCAATTTATATTAATAATTAAAATATTTATACATGCATATATAAATTTATGTACTCACCTAAATCAAAAGTAAACAAAACTCAAAAGTAAATACTAAAGAAAATCATATTGATTTCTTGCAGGTAGAATATCAAGATTATCTAAATACAAAATGAGACATACTAAAAAATGCCTTGAAAAGAATGTATCCAAGGGTCTAACCGCCTTATATGTTTTTTAAAACAAACTAGTTATTTTTTCTAAAAACAAAAAAATTAAGTGGTGTTTTCAAAATTTAATTCAAAAGAAAAAAAATCATAAAACTTGATAATAATTCACCAAATAAACCTTAATTATTCATCAAACCAATCTGAAAAACTAAAATTTTAGCTAGGGACCATTATGAAATTTATGAAAATTTTAGGGGTTAAATTGTAATTTTATCAAATTGGAGTACCAAAATAAAAATATCATAAATTCATAACCATACAAGGATTTTATACATAATTCATCCTCAATTTTATATAAAATATTGAATTATGCTCTAGAGATCAATTTGGAATTTTATGAAAATTTTAGGGGTTAAATTGTAATTTTATCAAATTAAAGGACCAAACTGCAAATATCATAAATTCATAACCATACAAGGATTTTATACATAATTCATCCTCAATTTTATATAAAATATTGAATTATGCTCTAGAGATCAATTTGGAATTTTATTAGATTTTTAAGGATTAAATTGTAATTTTATCAAATTAAAGGACCAAACTGAAAATATCATAAATTCTTTAGGGTAGGTTGTGGCAGACCCTTATTTAACTGCTCAAATTCACCCCCACACACTTTTATTAGTTTTTGCTCTATATATATAAATATATATTCCTGCACTGTAGTAGCTTCTCATCATGTAACTTGGCAAAAACCACCATGACTTGCACACACGCTTGAATTTTGCAAGGGACTTGCCTGGTAAGAAGGTGGAAATGTGAAAAAATGATGTCTTGGGGGGAGTTTGGACTTGTCTATTCAACTTAATGTTGGTTTCTTTAGCAACTTTTCCAGGAAAATGCATTTTAAGATTAAATAATGAAAGTATTACTAAGAAATAGTTTTCATCTATTAATTAGAAGCTTCACTTTCCCTGTGAATATACTGTTTCCTCATTGACCTGGTCATGTTTTGAGAGGGTAGGTGTAAACTGAAACCGCAAGAGGGGGGTAAAACCATTTGACTTCTTCTCGTACAAATAAGCTCTTCCATTGCCATCCCTTTCAATGATCAAGCGTTAGACTACTAATATGAGATGATTGGTTGATATGAGTGTCCCAAAAATGATGCTGAAGGTAGAATATGAGATGATTGGCTGATAAGAGTGTCCCAAAAATGATGCTGAAGGTAGCAGGTATATTTCAATTGACAGACACAGCATCCTCAGAAAACGGAAACATGTGGATGTATAGAAATTGCAAGCTAAGGTTCCCAAACAACAAGCCTCATGTATATTGAAATGTTTGTACAGCCATGCCAAAGCTGGGATATTTTTCTCCTTATTGTGTCGGGATTTAGGCTCATGTTCTGCAATATATATCTTCATAACCATCACGGGCACCTTCAAGTTCTATACAGTGAGGTCTGGTTGAAAGGAGGATTCTCCGGTACTTACCTCTATTGCAGCGCCTTATGCACCAGACAGGCACGAAAGTAATATAATTCACTGTAAAACCAAGTGGCTAACTACAACACATAGTAGCTAGGCAATCAATCAGCATTGCATGCACTAGAAGAAACAGTGTTCTGAAATTAACCTATAAAAGAGGAGGACAGAAATGCAATAAAAACAAAAAGGAATTAATAGAAAAGGTCTGGTTCTTAACTTTATTTTGCTGGATCATATACTTAAGATTCTAGATTCTGATATTAGCATATTGAAACCAGACTTTCTGTATATATTGCCGATTCATAAAACGGATCACCATCATTCTCTACCTTTAACAACTTTTTTGCATCTTCTACTGGGTGGTACAGTGTCAATATCCCTGGACATCCGTGATTGTCTAACAGAACTTCCCCTTTCTTTGTCAACCACACCTCTGATGAATAACAATCTAGATATAGTTTGTCAACTGGGACGGCAAACAATCTTCTCCATGATGTCTTGACATAGTATTCACTTGCTAACCATGCTTCAAAATAACTTCCAAATGGTTGTAGTTTTCCGAAAACACACAAGCAATTTCCTGAGATGCTCAAAACTGCTGTATAAAAATGATTTGGAAGGGGCACAGCCTCCATGAATTTCTCTTCTTCTACATCAAATGGAACAATAACATCCAAATCTTGAGCAGCACCACTTTCTTGCTTCCCTAGCCAAAGCAGAGCTCCATTCCAAAATACTCCATGGCAACTTCCCAAGGTGATACCAGAAAGGCTGCCTTGAACTGTTCTCCATGTATTGGTTTTCAATGTGAAGACTTCAACCATAATTTGATCAGAGCCAGTACTGGCAGTAGCTGAAGAGGCAATTACCATTTTGTAATCATCAGTAGAGGAATCATAACCAAGTCCAGTCGAGAAATCTTTGTGCAGAGAAGAACTTGGTCCTGGCAATTTCTTGGACTCTCTAGTTGATGGATTCCATAAGACCACATTATCAACTTCATTAAGTATACATACTATGCCATCACAAGATCCCAGAAATAATCCAACAGCGAAGGAGTCGTTATGACTCTCTGCGTTAGGATAAGGAAGCTTCACTAATGTATTGCCATTATCACCATCACTAGCTGCTTCAAAGTCTACAGAATAAAGAGGATCAGCAGCAACGAGGAGCCTTTGACGGTTAATGTTCTCGTCTTCATATGCCCTTTTGAGATGCAACTTGGCAAATTGAGGATCGGAGATTAACGACCGCCATGATCTGCACACACACTTGAATCTTATAAGGGACTTGGCTGGTAAATAGATGAGAATATCAACAATGATTTCTTGGGGGAGTTTTGACATGGCTGTTCAACTTGATTTTGGTTTCCTTACAGTTGTTCGAGGAGGATTCATCTAGAATAATGAAAGCATTATTAAGCAATGGTTTTCAGCTATATCTGAAGTAGAAGTTTGACCTTTCCCATGAGTAAAAAACAATTTGACTTGACCTATGAATGAACCAGTCAATAGCCATGGCCTTCTTGTAGTTCTAGATTCAGGCTTGTAGTTTGTTGAATAGGTCATCGGACCAGGACCAAAAACAATAATAATAATATTGCAAGGAAGTTTCTGCTCCGTTTTATTTCTGCAACAGTTCAGTCAGAAAATTACAACATTAGAGAAAACTGGAATCTAGAAGGTCATCAAGGAAAGTGAGGTGGTGTACTGCCCTTCTTTTGTTGGTGTTATTACATAGTTGTGTTGGTGTTTGAAGCAGTCAAAACTCAACGGGTCCGATTATGTTATACAAAAGGTAATGGAAATTTCAAAGGTTCTCGCTACACTATTTTTTAGGAGAGTTTTACTTTATACTTCGTGGAAAAAACACTGTTCTGTGTCTGATACTGTCATGGTACATCGGCTACAATGAAAACATGTATCTTGGATTCAATTCTAGTTAGATGTTTCGTGATGTGCTATATAGGCCGGATAAAATTTTTTATAGTATAAAAAAATATTTAGATGATGCTAAAATTAAAAAAAGCCCAAAAATAATTTAATATTTGAATAACCTAGATAAACCATGTATTACTTGAATATCAATTCAAAAACAAACTAAATAAAATATCATGAAGTAAAGATGTAATATTTATATTTAATCAAATAATTTAATTTAATTTTTAAAATAAGCTAAATTTAACAAAAAAAAACCCATGTTGTTTTTAAAATTACTAAGAAATCTCATTAACAAATAAAATTTAATTTTTAATTAAATAAATATAAAATAAAAAATGAATTTGGTTGACCTGTTGACGTAAATCAAGTAATTGAAAGAGGTTACACATATCATCAGAACGCCAACTCGAAAAGTTAACCAAACAAAATACTATAACGTAAGCATTTAATATTTACATTCGATTAATTAATTTAATAAAATAAAAACCAAGCAAACCTTAGTAAATTTTTTAATTTCGAGTTAATTTCGAGTTAATTTTTTAAATTTGTAACTTATTATATTATAGGTTTATGTTCAATCAAGAAATTCAACTACCCAATTAATTTAATATTGATGGATAAATTTAAAAAATAAATAGTAATTTTAAAATATTTTTAAGGAAAAAAATAGTAATAAAAAAATAATAATTAAATTTTATAGAAAAATACTCATTCCTCCTCGAACTCTCATTTAGTGACACTCGTTAAGAAGAATGAAGTTGTCAAAAAAAACAAATTAATTAAAACAACCATCTCAAATATAAAAAAAAATAAAATCGAAATAATATGAAATCTAAATAAATTGGCGTAGGACTTTGCAATAATGGGTTGGGCCAGAAAATGATCTCCGTTGGAAAAGGCATTTGACATAAAAGAACTGGCGTCGCCCGGACTCGAACCGGAGACCTTCAGTGTGTTAGACTGACGTGATAACCAACTACACCACGACACCTGTTTCGCACCGTTTCGACTAATAATGAACATTAATATATTACATAGACTGATGGATAAGCTGTCACTACCTTCTGATCGTTAGTTAGTTTGTCATTGCCAACGTGTCACCTTAATCCACACTCCAAAGTACAACGTCCCAAGGATCGTCCTTCCTTTCTACTACACTCCAATTTTCAACTTCCTTGAAAGCTATAACATTCTGCTCTGCTCATCACTCCTCCTCTCAAAAAATTAAAATAAAAAAAAATGATGATTTCTTCAAGACTTAAAATATCCTTCTTTCAATTTCTCTCTTTTCATCTAATTATCCAATTCACCCTCATATCTTCCAACTTTTTCGAACCGTTCAATGTTACTTACGATCACCGTGCTCTCATCATCGACGGCCGCCGCCGCATGCTCATCTCTGCCGGAATCCACTATCCTCGCGCCACTCCCGAGGTATAACATAAACTGCCTCTTCTCTTTCGCCATGTTGCTTCAAAATTCTGTGTTTCAACCAGGTTAATTCTTAATTATACACTGATGAGATAAATTAAGGCTATTTTAATGCTACCTGACCTAGAATTTGAGAATAAAAATTAATTTTATAAGAGATTTGGAGATTCTTCGTTTTAATGTTGAAAGAGAAAACAAATGTGCGTTACAGGAGAAATTGATAAATAAATGTGCGATGATGCGTGCGTGCGTGCTTCTGTTAATTTTGTATTAGCTAATTTGTTCTTGTTTAATTGTTTATTTATTCAAGTTATCAGATTATTATAGTGTGTGTTTTTCGCGTAATATCAGATGTGGCCTGATTTGATTGAAAAAAGTAAGGAAGGTGGAGCAGATGTAGTTCAAACTTATGTATTTTGGGGCGGGCATGAGCCAGTTAAAGGACAGGTGAGCCTGGTTGATTGTTTATGACAGTTTCCAGTTTTTTTGTTATTTTATCACTCTGTGAAACTTGATACTAAATGGTTTTTTTATTTTTTTTTTGTTATTTTCTTGGCCAGTATTACTTTGAAGGGAGCTATGATCTTGTAAAGTTTGTGAAGCTAGTGGGTGAAAGTGGACTCTATCTTCATCTTCGCATAGGCCCTTATGTTTGTGCCGAGTGGAATTTCGGGTCTCACCTTTCTTTTTCATTGTTTTTTTTAAATTGAAGGCCTTTTTTGTCTTTTATTTATCTTGCCTCTTTGATATCATGCTCGTTTTATTTTTGTAGTATTCTTTTTTGATTCCCATCGTCTGCTAGATGCTTTGCAGATAAGATAGTGCATAAAGACTTAAAATGCTTACTTCTTTTATAGAGCATGTATATTTGTTTTGCCATTTTCCCCTATGATATCATTGAATCTATTTGTCGTACTGATTATATGTAAGCATCAAGGTGATGGTGTTGCATTGATGCTGATGTGTGTAAGATAGAAAATTTTAATTCTTGTCGGAAAAAAAAGAAGAGGAATAAGAAAACAAAGATATTTATGAGTAAGAGATGGAATGCACATTTCCTCAGCTCAATGCAAGAAAACCTTGATGGCAGGGAGAGGGGGGGGGGCATACTGCTGAACAATCAGATGGAATTAAAGAATTTAAGTCCATATATGGTATGGCTCCTCCCTTTTAAAGCTTAAGAACATAGCATATGGTTATTGTCTGTTGAAACTCAATAAATATAAACCTTTCGTTGTCTCTGCCAAACAAGTCAGTGGAGAGACAAAGTTTTGAGCCACTGTGGAATAGTGGTAATGGCTCTAAAAGTAGCAACTAGTAATCAGGGTATAATTTCACTGGATAGAAAATAGTAGTGTAATGCAAAGGATGGTCATTTTTGTTAAAAACTTAAATTGATTTATGCTGTTATTTGACAAAATATTGCAGGGGCTTCCCAGTGTGGTTGCGAGATGTCCCCGGCATAGTCTTTAGAACAGATAATGCTCCTTTTAAGGTACATTGGAGCTATGAGCATTTATACTGCAGATTTATGTTGCTTCTTTAAACTGAATAGGAGATATCATAGTTCCTTAAACTTGCATAAAATGTATCCTTTATTATCATGTTTTAAGCATTTAAGATCTCTAGTGGTAATGCATATTTGGTGATGTCACTGGAGTATCATACAAATATCAGCAACCTTCATCATAGAGCCTTGTACTACCTTTGCTACTTGCCCTTTGCATTCTCAAGTGTCATTTTGCCACAGGAGTATCATGAAAATATCAGCAAACTCCATCATAAAAATGCGGGGAAAACAGTTTTTCCCTGTTGCTTTCCTTTCATTATTTTTCCTTTAATGTCAACCATTGTGCCTTTACCCATGTATCCATGCCTTTTGACTCACGCAACACCAAATCATCCAATAATTCATTGACCTTCTATTGTCTCCTCTTTACTTATCTAATCTTTGAGGCATCTATTTTTGCAGTTTTTAAACCTTTAACTAATTTCTTATTATCTTTTTTTTTTTATTTAACCTCTACCTAACCCCTGGAAAGTTATTATTATTTCTTTGGACTATTTATATGGGTCACATGTACCACAACTTAGTGAAAGAATCTTGTTAGATGGGGGATTGTAAATAATATCATCATGCTAACAGTAAAATTGTTGAAATTGAGCCACGAGTCTTAGATTGTAGAGGTTAGCATAACATGCTGATGCTGATGATATCTGTATCATTTACAGGAAGAGATGCAGAAGTTTGTTACAAAGATAGTAGATCTGATGAGAGAGGAAATGCTATTATCTTGGCAAGGTGGTCCAATCATCATGTTACAGGTTGTATACAATTTTGAGTTTCTTTGTCCAATCTGTTTAGCTTTTAGAGTAATGTTGTTCTATTTTGGACAAGTTCTGTGGTTTTATTTTGCTTATAAGAATCACGTTAATTCACACATATCTGTCATCTCATTGAGTTGAAGAATCTGGCACAATAAATGGATATTGCCTAAGAGGTGATATCTCATTCCTGCCAGTGGGCGGTATTTGTGTTCTCAGGTACTGTGAGAGAAACATGACATGAATGTGAGGAAGGAGGGATTGTTGGGCGGGCAGGCTTTGGAGGCCATTATTTTCGGCTATGAAACTTATTGTGACCATTGTCACAAATTCCAGCAGAGATAATACAGTCTGGGGGTTTTGATCAATCATGTTAAATTCAGTTCCTGCTCAATTCAATGCTCCCAAAACTATTGTGGTTTTTTAATTAACATGTGATAACTAGAAATTTTTTTGACAGATTGAAAACGAATATGGGAATATTGAGCACTCATTTGGCCAGGGAGGGAAGGAATACATGAAATGGGCTGCTGGAATGGCTTTAGCACTTGACGCTGGGGTTCCATGGGTGATGTGCAAGCAAACTGATGCTCCAGAAAACATTGTAAGAACTCATCAACTAAGGATTGCTACAGCAGTAAATTTCTTTAAATTAAATTTCTTAGCGATATAAATAATGCTCAAGCTTGTTGGTCAGGAACAATAAAAGGAGAATCTGAAATTAT